AACCATGATATCATTTGGCTGGAGGCTTACCCCTTTAAGTTTCTCCAAGAATTGCGTTGACAACTAGTGCTGGTTTGGTAGCAATTTACGCCTTCTTTAATTTTTTTTACTAGGAAGGGCAGCTTTCGGCTTTAAAAATGTTTCTAAATTGCCGAATAATTTTGAGACCTACTAACTACTACACCTAAATTCAAGGTTTAAAATCTGCGTTTTGTGTACACTGTGTTTATGCAAAAGGATTTCTTTGACTAGGGGTTGAGGAGGAAGTCACACACTTCTAATTAAATATTCCAATAGATGTGGATCGCACTGTATACATTATATGCAGCATTAGTAAATTGACGGATATAATGTATTATGAATCAACAGCTCAAAATCGTAAAAATTTCATGATTGCATTTCTTTTCTAATCTAAAGGATACGATTACTTTTAGGATAATTTTTAAAGAAATGATAATTTGCTGCCAACCTAGTAGAAGAAATCATCTTTTCATGCAAGTTTTTAATAAAATATATGTGAATTTATAAAGGCGGTCAACATCAATAATAACAATGCCTATTACCTAAATAGTCATTTTTACAGTACTAACCTTTTGTAAGCGGTCCAAACGAGCTCGCTAAAAAGCCGGCATCCTATCGCAGCTGAAATGACTTCATAATAGGTTACATGTTAATCAGTATTACAAATTTACCCAACGCCGATAAGCAAGTGAGTATCAATCTTTCGCAAATTTTGGCATGTTGCACGAATTCTTAGTCGTACTGTACAACTAGCTCTGCAACATTTTCTTCCTTATCAACTACTTGAAAAGCGGAGAGCTCAGTACATTTGTACCGTCTGTCAATCCATCTTGCTTATGCCGAATCCATCCTGAAAGTTCAGCTCATATCTGCTTTGCATTTTTAGTTCTGCCGCCTCGGACACTACCAGCGGCTATGTGGGTGACAGTTGTGCTCGAATTTTTCGTCCTAGTTTAACTGGAAGGATGTTTTTTTTATCTGCCTACCAATTTTTGTTTTCAACGAATTCTGTGCACTTTAGTTCCCCCCATTTTAGCTATTGCAGCCTGTCCATAGGATGTCAACCATGATGGTGCTGGATTTTTCAAGTTAATATACACATATTCTATCTGTTACTATAATCCGTGTCTTTGAATACCTTAGAATAAAACTCATAAATCTATTTATTTTCTGCTCTGGACGCGAGAGAAATATGAATGCAGCAACTAAGTGCGTCAAATGAGTCCGTTTTGAAGGTCTGTTCGTTTCTGTTTAGTGCATTCATTTCTCCTCATCCTCGCCCACTTCAGCCCGTAGTGATGAACGTCTTAAGAGGCCCGGATGCGAGAGAGGGCACAGGCGATTACCGTGTAAGTAAACCACATCCAGGGGGTACTACCACAACTGTTTCGTGTGGTTCCGTACAAATACATGTGTAGAAGGACATAACCGACAAAGATAAGGGAGACTAGGAAGGCCATTTCTGGCTTATTAGCCTTCGTCAGGTAGTTATATCAACTCAACTGTTGCCCCAGAAATTTGTGTGCAGCTTGAGTTTCGAACCCGCGACCTTGTTATTTAGAAATCCAACTCTCTAACCACTGCGCAACGGGTTTGCTGTTTTGTCGGTTTTTGATCGGAAATATACACCGATCAGTTAGAGGACACACTCGAACATGTTTGCGCTACCACACCTGGATTGAAAAATTTTGCATGTTTTCATAACGCGTTGGCCATGTTTGAAGTTCCATAAAAGATTAAAGGGAAAATCTACTAGCTGAAAGAATACTGTCTATTCAACTTTTTATTCGAAGCGTAACGGGCAAAATCATTACTGGTTCTTGTAATGCACATTAATTCTGACATAATTACAACCAGTAGAAGACTGTAAATGATTCGAGTAGACAAAGAAAACAAAATTAACAGAGATTATCACCCAATGGGGAGGGAAAACAGAGAAAAAAGTGCAAAATGAGTGGCTCATGTAAATCGGGGTTCACATTGAACAATTTTTACCCAAACGTTTTCAACTATAAAATGGAGACAGTCGGCGCCATCTCACTCCTCAGCGAGCTTCAAATTGATACTGATTGTTGTCCGATCACTGCGCTAAAGCAAATATCTTTGGCAGTTTTACGAAGGAAGGTGGAACACTTAATCTTAAGAGACTATATCCCGTGGCAGCGTATAGCATCCAAAGTTTCACATTTGCACGGACTGTCTTCCTACCTGAAAATTCTGGGTTCAATAATAAATTTCGGCAATCAGTATCTACCAAAATGCTTACTATTTTCATATATATATACAGTAGACTGCATATCTGATGCAAGGCTGGGGATAAGAGGATTTAACGCACATTTGAGGTTGTTTATTTTGTTCATTGGGTTGGATTGGGTCACAAAATTTTGTTAATTAGAATTTAATTACGTTCACCTCAA